ATTTGTTCATACCACCGAAGCTAATACGCCCCATTTAAGCCCTTAATTACCAAAAAATCAGAAATAATTAAAAGGTTCTGTTAACCACTGTTAGGAAGAAGAATATATTCTTTGTCCCAGGCTTTGAACACCATAATGGAAATTGCACTGACTAGGGTTGTAATTGTTGACTGTTTTTTAACTGAACTCCTGGCCTGCACAATTAAGCTATAGTTCCGGAAGTAGTGGACAGCCTTGGGATATCCTATGCCGACAAGCTGTTTGCGTAATGTCATTAGGAAACATTATGGATAGTTCCCCGTGTTTAGAACATCTTGAATGAATAAAGTAGCTCATATGAGTCAGGTAAACCAGAAAATGTACGAAGTATGCTTCGTAATGGTGGACAATGATTAACACGAAATTTGCAGTTCGATCACATGGACAAATAAAGTACACACATTGGATGAAAAAGTTCAAGGTGAACAAGAACAATAATACGAGCACACGAATATGGAGTCAATACTAATCAGACGTGGTGACATTTTCCTGCGCAAAATTCGGTCAGCCTTCTATTCGTGGGATGAACGAAGATTAGGTATGAGGACCCACCTAATTTTTCCTTCTATAAAATTTCCACCTACGTCATTCCGATATGCGCATTCTCCGTCACGCTTTCTTCAAGTGCTACTATTTAGGTTCGTGCGCGGCTAAATGTTGGGGAGTTAGGGGGTTAGGATTGAAAGTGGGATAAGGGTCCAGTGTCAGAGAAAGAATTTAGTGTTAGAAGCTAGACTTAAGGTTAGGCTTAGGGATACATAGTCAAAAATTAATTTTATCAACCATTGCGTTAGGTGTTAAGAGGAAGCACTATATGCCAAATATCCGCTCACCGAAACTGTTTAAGGTTCAAGAAAGCCCCAAAAGCTACTGCAAAATTCTCTTCTAAGAGTACGTAGGCTTTAGTAAATGGTGAGGAGGTTTTACACACGATCACTTTATTACTACTGGTTACTAATTTTAACAAAGGAGATGCGAGACCTCGTAAGACCTAAACACACTTCTAAGCGTTGAAATATTGCACTGAGTAAAAAATCGCGACTGCTCAACTCTGCTTCAAGTTTGTGCAAAAACACCTACACATTTGCGCATACTGAAGACAGGCTGGCGTGTCTCAATCCTATTAAACAAGACCTATAGTGTCTTTAAATTCGATGACTCCCTCACTTAGCCTGGCTTATTGCTGGGTGTTTCATCCAGGTTTTATCGTGAGGAGCGCTGGTTTATTCATGCGTGCCCCAATTTGTCCTGGGTCCCGTGGCCCAACTCACAGCAGTCAACATCCGTTGACGCCTGATTACATGCAACAGGATGAAAAACGTACGGATAAGCCATTTCATGTTAACTACGAAGAGTTCCTTACTAACCCTCTATGTGCACCCTGAGTCACAAGAAAGTCCCTAAGTGTGACTCTTCAAGAGAATACCTGTAAAATGAAGGTCTACTCAAAAATGTCCCGGCCATTTTCCTTTCTCCGCTTCAATCCAGAGACCTGTGGTGACTCACATCGAATATGGCAACTAACAACAAGAATTTGTTGTGAGTTAATAAGCCTGCAAGACGAAAACCTTTAGAATAACTTAATTAAGATTAAGGACAGAGACACCGATATAATTTGTTCCTATGCTGATTCATACCTTTTTGAGGCAAATATCTTATACACAAAAGGACAAGTTTGACCGGATACCTTCTCATGGAGACTATATTAACTGCTCTGGCCAATTTTCTTGAATAGTTGCGCGCGAACGTTTAGATTCCCCCGTCCACAGAGAGTGTCAAACGCTTCTTTACCAGGGCCTGAATTATTGGGCTGAGTATATGCAAAATGCCTTTTGGATACCTTGGAGAAGGCAACTTTAATATGCTTTATCCGTATTGTCCGGCACTGAATATGCGTAAGGTGTAATTTAACCTCCAGTTTTCTGGTCTTGACTTGTGCCTCATGTCTTTGTCTCTCCCCTTCTGCCCATGTCAGCATCCACATCATTATCCCGCAATGTCCAAGTAGGTTTTTTAATCATTTGTATCGGCGGACTTTCTTCGATTTTCTAATCGAACCAGCTATCCATTCCGGTTAAGAAATGCGCCTACTACATTTTGTTCATCTTCATTATGAAATCGGCATGTAAACACATGTGTCATTCTCGGCCTGACGTTGTGCGCTATTCAAATTTCTATGCAAAGTACTAGTTCTCTGGCAAAAACAAACTTCGCTAAAATTTAGTTGTATGGTATTTTAACACTGAACATCTGTAAACGTTGGACTAAAGCCACCCTTTAGTCATGAGTCTCCGAAGGCTAGAATTATGGCACAGGATGTACTTTTAGAATTTTTTTAGCACATGCAACACATTTCGCAATTCCTTCACACTTTGACAGTCCACAGATTCGCGCTGCTAATTACATTTAACCCTCCAGACTGAGTTTACAACTAAGCGCACAGTCGGTATTTCCTGTGCCTTGGTGCTATATGAATCACTTGTTCATGTGGAGCAGAACACAAAAGGATCCTCATGTTGTTAAAATCCGGCAATTTGCTGCCCAATATATCGTGGACTATTTTATAATTTATATGCTCAGCAGCAAATTGAGGATTTAAAGGCAGTATTTCAGAATGCGAATGTGTAATGCCTCAACTATAATCATGTTTTGCGAGAGTTTGTTAAGCTGCGATGTGTCGATAAATGAGAATTTCCAAAGCACATGCTAACGTAGACGGAATTATTGTACAAAAATTTATCAGGGCGGAAGTGAACAGGTCCAAAATGAAGTTCCGAAAGCCTTCTCTTCTGGCGTGTGCGTCAGCCGTTGAAGCAGTGGTCCCCGGCACCGTGCCTGTGGGTTGAAACCGATCAGCAAATGACGTAGCACCGTTCGGTTTCGAGCTCTTTTGGCCTCAGCATCGAATCGACAGGGAGTGCGAGGCGGATAGAAAGATATGAGTTAACGGGCATGCAGGAAACCACGACTACCACGGGCCATTAAACGATGAGACCTTCTGATATTGCTATAAAATGAAAGATTTAATGTAAGAAGCGCTGGTGATGGAGGTCTGACGATCCTAGCCTAGGAACAGACTGACGAAATCTCTAAAAATCTGCACGTTGTATATTGGACGTTAATTCAGTTAGCTCGTAACAACACAGTCAACGCCGGCGAATACGATGGGGTTGATTTCTTGGCAAATGGTTGCATTGTTGTCCCAAAGGGAAAGTCACTTAATGGCGATTAAATAACGGTCAAACGAATCCATTCATCACTACGCACTTTCAATACCATCGTCAGATGTGTAGCCACAGGAATTTAAAGTACATCCGACTATTGACTAAAAATCTACTTGGCCACATCTGATACCACCTGATAACCTTCGATACCTAGAAGCACCCCACAAAGTATGGTGATAATATCTCCGCAACTGTAGGATGAAGGACCCCAACTAGCTCTCGGTAGACTGTGGGTCATCTACTGATGTACGTACTTGGAAAATCAAGTTAAGAACTAATGGCTGGCAGTTGTATCCAAGAGGGGAGAAACAAAAACGGAAACTAACTTAGCATAAATTGAGGAATAACAGGAAAGTCTGCCAGGGGATCAGATCAGATCAGATTTATTAAGGGATAAGTAGGCGAGCGCCTTTGAACTCCCTTTTCGTTACAATAACGTCATAAAAAAACAATGTGTAAGGCATGTGTGAAAAAAATTAGGTAAGTAATTACATACAACAAGCATTGGTCACTGGTATGAATTTGTCTGTGAATGCCTTCTATGTCAAAATTGTACAATATCCAGTACGGCAATGAATGGACCAAGTAGTATCAAAGCAAGTGCATATGTGGCGGTCAGGAGACAGCGAAAATTGTAAAACATAATGTTACTAAATATAGGGAGTAGCATGCTTTGTAACATAAAACGTTGGATGAGGCGGGTGGCACAGGGGGGAATTCGTTAGTTTCTGATGCTGTGGAGGTACATATCCCTGTACTGGTCAAGCTTTCTCTTAAATGAGTCCACGGATGAGGACATGACGACATCCACAGGTAGGGCGTTCCATGCCTTTACCACTCTGTGGCTGAAGAAGGACCTCCTTGCGTCCAGTCTCGCTCCTGTCACACGTAGTTTCAGAGGGTGTCCTCTCAAGCTAGTAGTGGTGGCCAGCTCAAAGAAGTCGCCGGATGCGAGGCAGCAGTCCTGACCCCGTTACATTCTAAACGTTTAAATTAAGTCGCCACGGAGTTGTCTGTAGTCCAGGGGAAAGAGGTTTAGATTTGAAAGTCTGGTTTCGTAAGGTAGGTTTTGATGACCTCTGACAAGCTTGGTTGCCCGTCGTTGGACTTTTTCGAGGGTGGTACGATTCTGAACAGTCCAGGGTCTCCAGGCCTGAATGGCAAATTCTAGCTGTGGGCGCACAAACATCCCGAAGACCTTGCGGAAGCACCCTTCGTCGAACTTGGCAAATGCCCGCTTAATGAGATATAAGCTGGACATTGCGGATTTTGCTGCTTTCCAGCAGTGGAATGATGGCTTTAGTGAAGATGTTATCCACACCCCTAGGTCTTTCTGAACGTCTACAAGTGGTAGCGGTGTGTGATTTAGATAGTACGTCTGCCGCTGCGCAGAGCTGGTTCTGCCAATCCTCAGAATGTTGCATTTGGTAACATTAAATGGGAGGAGCCAGTGGCCTGACCATTTTTCGAGTCGGTGTAAGTTTGCCTGTAAATTTGCTTCATCGTCCTCGTTGCGGATGACGGTCCAAAGTTTTATATCGTCAGCAAACATGGCAATCTTGCAGTCCAATCCATGGATACAGTCATCAATATAGATGAGGAAGAGGATAGGGCCAAGAACGGAGCCCTGAGGTACTCCGCTCGTAAGCGTCACCTCTGCCGATTGCTGGCCACCAAGACGAACAGTCTGGGACCGACCGACCAAAAAGTTTTCAATCCACTTCAAAAGCTTGCCTCTTACCCTATGCGGCTGAGCTTGTATAGGAGACGTTGGTGTGGCACGCTGTCAAAGGCCTTCTTGAAGTCTATGTAGGCCACATGCACAACGTTTCTTTCATCAATCGCTCGGGTCCACTGTTCAAGACAGTAGAGTAGATTGGTCAAGCAGGACCTCCCTCTGCGGAAACCGTGCTGTGCATCGCACAGAAGATGATTTTGCTCTAAAAACCGCATCAGTTCGCGTTTGATTATTCGCTCCATAACTTTGCAGCATATGGAGGTGAGGCTTACTGGTCGGTAGTTGTTTGCGGAAGCGCGACTGCCATTTTTATGAATCGTTGAAATCCACGCAGCCTTCCACTCAGGAGGCAGTCTGCCTGCATCAAGAGAGGCTTGGAAGAGGACGCTCAGAGGTTCTGCCAATTCTGTGGCTAATTCCTTCAACAACTTTGCCGGTATTTCGTCAGGACCGGGCGAAGTCCCTTCTTTTAGCTTCAGTAATTCCTGTTGAACAATAGGTTTTGTGAGAACCACTGAGTCAATTGTCGGGACATTGTCCACATTACAGTGATCAGTGGGTACAGCGACTTCTCTCGTAAAAACCGACTGAAAGAACCTGGACAGATGCTCAGCCTTTTCGTCGTCCTTGTAAAGTTCAACGCCATCATCAGTTTTTAGCATAGGGATGGGATCCATGTTGCGAGTACTTTGTCTTATGTAGTTGAAGAAAAGCTTTGGGTTTTCTCCTGCACAGTTTAAAAGGTTACCCTCGAAGTCTTGGCGGGCTTTGCAAACAAGGCACTTTACCCTATTCCGCTGAGCCTTATACCTATTTCTTGATTCAGTCGTCTTGTCCCTAAGGTATGCTTTCCACAGCTTTTGCTTACGGTTTACATCAACTTTTAGTGAACCCTTTAGCCATCGGGGCCTGCTGGTGATTTTCTTTTTCGACATAGGGCAGTATCTGGTGATAAGTTCATTCAGTATGGCCTTAAGTTCTAGCCAGTCCTTGAGGACACACCCCGTAAATGCTGCTTTCCAGTCTCTACGACGCATGTCGAGACGCATTTGGTTGAAGTCACCACGCCATATGTTGCGTCTAATCACGATGCTTTGATCGGGTACAGAGAAGAGAGAATACTCCCACTGTAGGACTACATGGTCGCTTTTTCCGAGAGGGGGTAGACAGTTTACAACATCAACGCTTTCCGGTGCCTTTGTCAATACAAGGTCTAAGCAGTTAGCTAGTTGTCCTTCACGTAGTCTGGTTGGGGATTAGACGTGTTGTGTGAGATGCGATCTTTGCACAGACTTTAGGAGGCGGCGATCAAAGTTAAATTCTGAGTCCGGGGCAGAAGTCAGATTCCAGTCGATATTCGGAGCGTTAAAGTCGCCCATAATCATGACATTGGGTCGGAGCGAAATCGCTTCTAATTCCTCTAGTAGACTACTGTCTGATTGCGGGTCGTTCCTCGGTGGGCGGTAGACCGTCAGGATCTCGAGAGGTTGTGACCCCGGCGTTTTGACGGTGAGCCAAATTGTTTCAGTTGTGTGCGCGAGCTGTGCCTCTTTTGCTGACGCAAAAAGGCCATATTTGACATACACGAGCACACCTCCACCTTGACATCCCAACCTGTCCTTTCTGAACAAGTGATAACCAGATAAAGCGACTTCGCGATCGTCTACGCTCGCGGACAGCCACGTTTCAGTTAGGGATATAACATCGGGTAAGGTTTGGTTAACGTAGATTTTAAGCTCCTCTAATTTAGATAGCAGACTTTGCGCATTGGAATACAAGCATTTTAGCTTTTTTGCCTTTGGTAAGCCGGCTATGACGCCGCCTTTGCGAATTGTCTCGGCTGTGGCGACACACTCACGGGCCGTGTCCATATGAAGCGGGACGGTCGCTCGATTATGCAGTTGTTGTAGATAACCAGGCCTTGTTCGCCATTCATTTGTCGCAGCCTTAGCTCCTGAACTAACTGTCGGCGTTTTATCCGCTCCGGTGGTGTGTAATCCAGCTGAAAAAAACTCCTTGGTGGGAATCTTTTAACCTAAAACGTCTTGAGAGGATGAGATCAACATGCTCTTTGCAACTCAGAACAATTTTAAGGGGTCTAGGATGCGGTGGAATAACGGGTTCAGTAGAGCGCTTTCCGAGTCTGAAGGCTTTCAACACGGAAATTTCTTCGTCGGGTTGAAGCAGTGTGTTTAGAAGACCTTAGAACAAGCCGAGATCAGCTAATACGCGTTCTTTAGGTGTATCTGCTTGAGGCTCCTGAAGTCCCTGTATTACTAGGCACTGTTCTCGGAGCGGCCGGTCTTGGTTGCGTGATGTTAGTGACTCGGGAGTTCCTGGCGAACCATTCATTATGACATTCTGGTTGCCATCCACTCCAGGGATCTTTTCTGCAGCTAATGGTATCGTGTTTGGGGCAATACTGTTCCTGTCTTTTATGTCAATACAGAGGATATTCGCATTTGCCGCGTCTGTGTCTACGCTGGCGCCGGAGGTTTCTGTCGATTGCTCAGACGAGCTCTGCTTTTCCACCCTAGGAAGTTCCTTTCTTCGAGTACTCCGAAGTCGTCCGATTTCCGTCTCTCTCTTTTCAGTCGTCAATCCCCTTTGATTTAACTGCTTCTTTTGATGTGACCTCAGTTGCATGTGAACGGTCTGAGTCTTATTATTAATTCCTTGGTTCTCCTCGGTCACATTGCGCGGGGTGGTGATCGTCTGCTTTCTGCTCTTCTGCGGCCGATTAATATCATGCCTTGTCATATTCTCCGCGATTTCCTCTGAGGTTTCCGTCCATGTGGTAGTCTTGTCTATGTCGAATCCTTTTACCTTCTTCTGTGGTGGAGATCGGACAGCTTCTACTCTGCCAGTGAGCTGGTCATTGTTCTTCAGCTGGGTAGTTATCAGTGATGAGAGTGTACTGCCATTATCACTTCGCAACTTAGTTTGCGATTTTGGAGTGTCGTTTATCATCGCTCTTAGTGAGGGTGAGGCTGTATGTTCATGTTTCCGTTTACCTTTTCTCTTAGCACTCTGTTTATTTCTGCAGCCAGCGATCTCCTGAAACGGTGATCCCTCTACTAGTGGATTGCTGTTAGTCAACTCTGCCAGTTTCGAAACTATCTGTTGGCTGCTGCTGAATTCATCAATTGACCTGAATTTATCATACTTTAGTAACAATGCGATGAGATCTATAAGGAGGTTCATGTTCGTCTCCGACGACGTAATGTTTAACGCGAGATCTCGACAATATTAACACCGCGTACCACAATTTGAAGGTTCATCATCTGGTAGAAAATCTTGTGTAGGCGTAGCGAATTTCCCGGGATAATTTGCGTTGCGGGCCACCTCCGTCCTGTTTTGAACCACTTCTGGCGTACTGCGTTCGTTAGATCCTCCCTGCCCGACGTGAATCGACGCTGGTCCGCATGGAGTTGCTAGTGCACTATGTTCATGGCAAAATCCGACACATTCCCCAACCGTGGGGCTAATGCAATTAATATTCTTTGTGGTCATACCATCGGTGCCGATGGCCGAGGGGTCTAGGCGTTCGCCTCGTGAGGCCATGGTCGGAGGTTCGATTCCCGCTCTCCACGCCTTTTTTTCATCCCGCGGGACTGATGGATCGTACACTTCTACATTTCCCATGTCTCAATGCGCCAAAGTCAAGGATACAACAACGGCCGAAAGGTTGGCAGCAGAAGACAGACACAATCAAAAGAAG